AATCGCACTGTTCAAGGTGGCTGCATGTTGGAGTAGCTCTGTTACTTTCATCCTGAGTTGTTGCTTTTGAAAACTTGAATTCTTCTTTTTCTGGATGCAAATCCATTTTTTTTCCAGATGATTATTTCCTCTGGTATCGGATGCTGTGCAGCGGAAGGATTTTTATAGAAACCTCTTTACTTTTTCTTAAGATTTGTAACTTGAAATGAAGATGTAAATATCTGGGGAAAAAAATAAAAATAATTAAAACAAAGAAACCTCTTTACTTTTGGACATTTGTTGTGAAGTGTAACCATGACAACAAGGTGTTTTTTAACTACCAGGAGCAGTTGATTAACATCTCAAAAGCTCAAATTATATCTCAACTACAGCCCCAAATCACAAATGAGTTGAAAAGGAGGCACCGTGGACACATTCCCATCTACCCAGTGGCGGTGCTTGAGTGCCTGACCGCTGAGATCCTCAAGCTGGCGGGGAACACAGCTTGTGACAACGGGAGGACTGGGATTATGCCTTGACACCTGCTGCTGGCTGTTTGCAACGATGAGGAACTCAACAAGTTGCTGCGAGGCGTGACCATTGCTCAGGAATGAGTTCTGCCCAACATTCAGGCTTTTCTGCTGCCCAGGAGAACCAAGAGACCCGCCGGGTCCAAGTGGACAGATCAACATCTGCAACTGGGTTGTTCGGAGCCACTGTGGGATGGACTGCTAGAGATCCTTCCTGTCCACAGCCATCAGCATCTGTAGCAACTCTAATGAAACCAGTATAATGAGTTAGCACAACATTTATTTTCCCTTTGGGATTAATAAAGTATTTTTGAACTGAACTGAACTGAATGACTTCTGCTGTCTCATTGTGACAATGAAGCCTAAATGTCCTCAGTCATGTGGTCTTGGAGATGTTGAAACAAACAGCCCATATCTAAGGAATGTCCTCCCAGAGCTGAACTTTAATGGACCTAGACATGGGCTGTCCATAATGAATGTCATGTCTCAGCTTAGGGTGCAGCATACAAGTACCTGATACGAGACCACCTTAGGCCAAAGCTCGATGATCAGTTTTGTGATCATATCGTCAGACCTGTGGCCCTATGAATTAGACACTCCAGTAAAGACAGGTGGAGATTTTAACTGATCTCTACCTGGTGGTGAATTATATTTGGTGACAAAGGTGGCTGCCGAGCAGGCCTGGACACCCAAATGAGTAGTGAGGAATAACTGGGAACATCTGGTCCAAACTGTCTGTGGGAGCTTCAACTCTCATGTTCAGGAAAGTTTTTCACATGGAGGTTGGGGACATGGAATCTGAATGGGTCTTCCATGAGCTGCCTGAAATGGGTGCCTGTCACTGCAGCAACCAAAGAACCTGCTGGTAGACACCATCAGTGAAAGAGACCATCAAGCTGTAGAAGGAGGCCTTTAGGGCTTGTTTGTCCTGGAGAACCCCTGAAGCAGCTGCCAAGTACAGGGTGGCCGAAAGCACTGTGGATTTTTAGGTCTGGATGCAAAAACTCAGGCACAGCAGGCCAGTTTTAGAGGCCATGTAGGACTTTCGATTGTCCTCAAGGAGGTTTTAGCAAGCAGTGCGGTGATGCAGAAAGAAAAAGTAGTTCCTCCCCAGGCTGCATTTGGTTTGAGTGGAGAACTGCTGAAACAGACTGGGGATATTGTTGAACGATGGAAGGAACGCTTCGAGAATCTCTTTAATCTGTCCATCACAGTGACAGAGTCTGAAGATTTGGGGGAAGATGTCTGTCATGGCATAGGTCACCCAGGTAAAGGCGGCGCCAGGGGTGGACGAGATTTGCTCTAAGATGCCACAGGGCTGTTGTAGTTGACACGGCTCTATTGTCGCATGGAAGACCTGAACAATACTTGTGGAGTGGCCTACTGGTGATGATGCCTTTATTTATGTTTTACGATTGCAGAAAGTGAAGAAAACAAAATCAGACCGAGCTGCTGGTAATATGCAAAACACAAGCACCTTTTAAATAAGAAGACACAGTAATGCAGTCTATGTGTAGTTGTTTATTATGGTCGTTTTGAACCATTCAACCAGTGGCGAAGAGAACTGCAGCAGGTAAGATTGAACTCTGACTTACAGCGACACCTGCTGGTCAGCCTGTGTAAGTACAGACAGAAAACTACCAAGCCGGAACATAACTCCTGACTGAACATGAGCTACTTTAAAAAGAAAGCAATATTTACATGACATATTGGAATAGTTTAAGGTAATTCACTGTCTCTGCATTTCAGCCTTATTGCGTTACATAACAGCCAATCTATGAAAGTTTGTTTTTGTTGGACTTTAATTGCTGTAATCCAAGATGATCCATTAAGGCATTTTATGTTCTACACAAATTCAAATTAGACTTTACAAAAGCACGTTTTTTTTTTGTCTAAAATCACAAGACAAATGTTGTTAGTTTGTACAATTATTTTAAAAGGTCATCAGTTAATCTTAAGACATGTTACATTATTTGTGTTAACCCAATTTAAGAAGACCTTCACAGCTAATTGACCTAATTCAACAGAAACAATGCTACAACTGTGCCAGATTTACAAACACGGAGTTAAAACTGAATGCGGTAGTAGCTGAGAGTCATTCACAACATATATCTCACGAGCTAACACATCACACCTTAGATCGTACATATTGTTATTTTCAAAGTTTGAGCAAACTGCATACAACAGAGGATTTCTAAAACTCTGGGATTAAAAGAAGCGGGCAGTACGCATTCCTTCAAAGATTATTAGGCCTTAATATGGAACAGACTTTTCTGCTGTGGAGGTTGATGCAGCCGGAAACCAGAGGTAGAAAGAATTTTATGACTAAAGCAAGTGATGCGTCTATGCTGTGACAGCCTTTCAGCGCTTTTCAGCTTTTCAAATTGTGCTTAATGATCAGACAAAACATCAAGAGCAGAATAAAGAGTGCTTCATTCACAATGTCCATCTGCATCACTTGGTCTTTAACCCCCATGTAGATATTTATCTGCAAAACTTGGTGAAGATCCGTGATGACGCAAACGATCTCCAGTTTGTCTTTATTTTCCCAGCCTTCTCCAAGATTAGTGTAATTGCATAAAGCACAGGAGGCTTTCCTGCTTCACCAGCTGAGGGAGAACAGGAGGGATCTGATGCGGACAAATCGGTGTTTCTTGTTGAATGCGTTGATAAGTTGATCCTATTTTAAGTTTTGGTGGAATTCCCTCCAAGCTTAAACTGATGAGTGAGGAAATGAACTTGTTGGAAGTTAAAAAGTTGTAAAAACTTAAATTTTCCTCCGTGTTGTACGTATCATCAGTATAAGCTTGGCCTACTTCCTCCTCTCTGTCGACCTAATTGCTCTGTTTTTAGAGAAACCAAAGCATTTGAACGTTGAACTGGTTTCCTTATAATAGTGTCTGGTGGTGTAGGTTTTTTTTTTCTTCACAGAACTGATATGTCAAAACTGATGCTGTTTCTGGAACATTAATTCTATAATATTGTAGATGTGTATTTTTTTAAATTAGTTTCATTAGTTCTGCTTTTACCAAAAGTTCATGCTCAATAATCCAGGTATAATCCAACAATGTTCAGTCAGGTCATCTGGGGGGGTTTGTGGCTGAAGAAGTCCTTTGGATGAAGGATGAAACATCTCAGCAAAATAAAAAATAAAATAAAAAAGAAAGTTCTGCTTTGAGTTGATATTTATATCCACATAATTTCATTCCTTGAACTGGACATTTAATATGAGTTAAAATTCAAGTCAACTTTTTAACACAACATTTTTTAAACACAAGTGAAGCTCAAAGCGCTGAACAAAGCAGAACAACATAAAACACAAACGTGTTGAAATAAACCAAGTTAAACCAATAAAGACCATTCTTATAGTGAACATCCATGAACGCAAAGGTTATCATATCTAAACATTTAGGCAATTTTAAGTACTTTAAAGTACATTGATACTAATTGTAAACTTTGTGAAAAAGTAAATCTAGTAAAAATAGACTTAAGACATAAAACTTATTCTAAAAAACAACACTGTCAAAGTGGGCTCTCTAGTGGAGACACCATGAACAGTCCACAATTTACAAAATGTGTTACACTTGACAGACATGTTGCTCTTTTCTAAATATTCCAAACCTTATTCTTATATTTTGTACATCTTGTTAAATCTTCCTTGGTCTTATTCAAACATTTGAGAAACTGAGACGTTCTAGTTTTAATTTCCTAAATGTAATTTCAAGGCAACATTAATAACATTATACCAGTGTAATATGATATGCTTAAAAATAAAACGTACTCCATCGAAATTCAGAATATCATGGTAGGGAAAAAAAATATTTGTCAGAAGTGGGATTCGAACCCACGCCTCCAGAGGAGACTGCGACCTGAACGCAGCGCCTTAGACCGCTCGGCCATCCTGACATGGATAAATGGCAATCACATTTCTATTTATGAATATGCACTCCAAGAGTTCTGGTATTGGTAGGTATAATTATGATTTGGTAAAAGCGTCACAAAATGGTCAATATGAACTTTGTAATGTCCCTTAACTTTTCCCTGTATCAAAGAAAACGGTTCTAAAATTAAGCTAACATACGTAAATGACATTGCCACTTCACTTCCGGTTAAATTAGACTGTACGGTCTCGTGCTGATTTTCTTACTTAGCATCGTCAGTCACAATATGGAATATTATAGGCCTAGATTTCTACCAGAATTTTACAAAACCTAAAGGTAAACTACTTTTCGCCGTCAGAAATGGGAATATGAATGTAAAATGTAACTAGGCCCCAGCGAGGATCGAACTCGCGACCCCTGGTTTACAAGACCAGTGCTCTAACCACTGAGCTATGGAGCCAATTGCAGCAAAACTCGTCACAATAAGAGCTTTTTAATAGTCAAATACAGACATGTTTTGTTTAGTTCAAGAGGCTCAGAAACTAGTGGGCGTTGCCTCATATCCAAGATCCTAACAAAGCCGAGCATCTTCACAAGACGATCCATTGTAATGGCAGTTTTCCACGCGCTTCTATATTTGGTCGCCAAAGCGCTCATGCTGCTGGCATGTGTCCTTTTCATAGCACTTCTGGGTTACTGTTTGTACATCAAGTACATTCATCTGAAATATGAACACATACCCGGGCCACCAAGAAGCAGGTAAGCCCGCTGGGTCGGCTCTCGGATGCACGCGCAAACTTTAACCCGGTGTTTTCCCCCTCGCAGTTTCTTCATGGGGCATTCACGGACACTTTTGACGATCATGAATTCCGATGGAGTTGTACATGAACAATTTCGTGAATGGTAAGCGCCTTTCTGTGTAAATGATCATTGCTGTAATTGTTTGTACACATTTGTTTACACTACTTGCAGCTGGTTTATTCGTTACACCTTAAAAGTGTTGTAATTCTTTATAACTATCACATAATGAACGTGATTTACAGGGCTGAGACTTACGGGCCTGTCTACAGGCTGAACATTCTGCATCATGTTTTGCTGATTGTGACATGTCCACAAGCAACAAAGGTAATCAGTCTCTGTGAGACAGACAATAAAAAAAAGTGCACACACAGACAATATTTGCTCCCTTCCTAACTTTGCAAGAACTACTGTAAGAAATAAATGTTCAGTCATTAAAAACACATTTACAGTTAACTATATAAACTCAGAAAATGAATTTACAGCCCTGAAAGGAATCAAGTTTACAGTCGTTTACATTTTTATAACTAAAGTTTCAAAAATGTACAAGTTGTTGGAAGTCCTAAAACAATCACACACACACAAAAAACAAACAAACAAAAAAACTGTTCAGGCACAACACTGCACCGGATTTGCAAGCGTGTGGATGACAAATGTCACATTTACTGAATCAAGAAAAACATTGTATTTATTTATTTATTTATTTTACTGTTATTTTATTTACTGTACCAGTAACTTGCTTTTAAAAATGTGCATTGTGCATCAACTATAGCCCCAAATCCCAAATGAGTTGAAAAGGAGGTGCCATGTATGAATTCCCGTCAACCTGGCAGAGATGCTCGAGTTCCTGACCACAGAGATCCTGGAGCTGGTGAGAAACTCAGCTTGTGACAATGGGAGGACTGGGATCATCCCCCGGCACCTTCAGCTGCTTGTCCATGGCGACGAGGAGCTCGGCAGACTGCTGGGAGCAACAACCATTGCTCAGGGAGAAATTCTGCCTGGCATTTGGTCAGTCCTGCTGCCCAGGAGGACCAAGAGGCCCGCTGGATCTGACGGCAAGCTGGGTCCAGGTGGATGGATCTGTATCTGTGACCAGATTCTTCGGCATCACTGCAGGAGATCCTTCCTGGCCACAGCTATCAGCATCCAACAACTCTTGAGGGGGTCCCTGAAACTTTTTCTCCCCTGTAAGGGGTCCCTGAACCCAAAAAGTTTGAGAACCCCTGGTTGAGAGGGTGGAATACAGTTTATTCCATTCCAAAAACTAATCAGAGTTTGGAAAAATGTAAAAAAAAAACAAAAAAAACTGGCGGCAGACCCCATGTGCAGCTGATTACATTATAAACAGGAAGTAGCTACCACATGTTCATCTGTACCAAGGTAACTGCAAGTAAATCCTCCATTTTCTGTTATAATTACATTGCATGCTTAGTGGTTAAATTATAGGTTAATGCTTAAAAGCTATTTGTGCTTTGTTTCTTGTTTTATTTGTAGACATATGTTTTAACATCTGGTTGCATAAGTTTAGTCTTTGTTTAAACTAAATAGATTTTGCACAAAGTGTTTAATAGATTGTGTAATGTAAAATTTACACTCGTACATATTGAATTTCACTGTGAGTTCTTGCCCTGTGTTGCTCTGTGGTTTGAAAACATCCACTTCTGTAACTATTTTAAGCTATTAGTAGCTTAGATTTGTTTTTGTTTGTTTTTTGCCTGTCTTCTTTGCCTTAATGTTGGCTGATGAAACATAAATGCCTCACTAAAATGCCTCAGGTAACGCCATGAGCTTCACTACCTCCACCATTACAGCCATGTTGTTTGTTTTTTTGTCCGAGTTTAGCTCATCCTGGGTTACATTTCCTCGTGGGCGAAGTGATCTTATATGCATCTTACATCTTCCGTAAAATATTTGATAATGTTCTTATAGAAACCATTACTGAATGTTGTTCGTACTGTGTTAATGCTAAATGTTTGTCTCTTGACCCTACAACTGGGTAACGTTACAGTAGATCTAGCCCGCCACTGGAGTTTTAATTTGGTATTCTAAGCTACTAATAAAATTAATGGATGATTATAATATTGCTTTATGTTAGGCCATTGGTAAGAAGAAGTCACTATTATTATTATCATTTCTATTGGCTAGGGATTTTTTTCCCCCTAAAAGTTAAACTTAGGCTACACTATGTTTCTTAGACTGACTAGGATGTGTGAGAGAAGCGGCATGTACTCTATTCACACAAGGAGAGCTGTTGGTCAGGCTACTTCTTGTTGTGTCATTAACTGTAAAATAGTTATTGAATCAAGTGTTACTTATGTAGGTCAAACTAGATGTTAAACAACCCATTAAAATACACCAGAATTCAGAAAATGGCATCTACTTTATTAAAAATTTTCTGGGGGAGGACCCCCAGAACACCCACACCAGAATATCTCCCCACATTACAAATGCTTCTGATGCCAATGGCCATCACACTGTTCAAGCCAACCATTGTCAGAACTGGGGTCTAAGCACCCCTAAAGGGCATATTCTAAATGTGCCCCTAATGTAAGATTATAATTACATGGTTTTAATAATAAGTATTGATCTAAAGTGGGCCCCTCTGATGAATGAAACTCCAGGGCTGAAAATGAGTCCCACTCTGGCCCTGTGTTAAACCCAGGACCTATATGTTGTGAGGCAACAGTGCTAACCAACCATGCCACAAAACAGCCCAGCCAAAAATAATGGTTAAAAACAAAATTAGTTCATTCAAAGAACTAGCTACAACAGGTTTGTAACTTTTCCACTGAAAGACACTTCAAAATGTTAAAACAATATCTTTACTGCTTCTGCTTTCAGGAAATCCTGATGTCCTCCAAGTACCCTAAGGATAAATTTTTTTACAAGAAACTCTATGACGTTTTTGGTCAAAGGTAGGCTGTCAGTAGTACTACATTATACAGTACAACCTAGTGAAATCAAGGTCAAGGTTTCTTTATTGTCATTTACATTTCATGTGGTACATGTGATGGAACGAAATTGTGTACACAAGGTCCCAGTTACATCAAACAAAAATATAAATTGTAAAAGAAAAACAATTATAAGATCTAAGATATGAACTAAGTAATATTCTAAACTTAGAATAAACACTTAATAGTGCAAAAACAATACGCCGAACAACAGCTGCACAAACTTGAGTCTTTGTGAGCAGATGAGTACAAATGAACATAGCAGGATGAAATAAATCAGCAGCAAGGATAATCAGCAGCACATATCAACAATCAAGTGGCTTTACGTTGATTTTTTTGTTTCCACAGTGATTATCCTGATTAGGGATTCATGAGTCTTAACAGCTTTAATTCAATTCAATTCAAAAATACTTTATTAATCCCAAAGGGAAATTATTTTGTTGTTGTAACTCGTTATCCTCATTTCATTGAGAGATGTTATAGATACTGATGCTGTAGACAGGAAGGATCTCTTGTAAAGGTCCATCCCACAGTGGATCCTAAGAAACTGGTTGCAGATGCCGTCCGATCCGTCCACCCAGACTCGGCTGGCCTCTCAGTTCCCCTGGACTGTAGGACTGCCTGAATGCCAGGCAGAACTCCTCCCAGAGCGATGGCCACTCCTCCCAGCAGTCTGCCGAGCTCCTCGTAGCTGCGGACAGACAACTGTAGGTGCTGAGGGACGATCCTGTCCTTCCGCTGTCGTGAGCCGTGTTTCCTGCTAGTTCCAGGATCTCAGTGGTCAGGCACTCGAGCACAGCTGGCAGGTAGATGAGAATGCGTCCACATAACATCCTTTTCAACTCATTTGAGAGTTAGGGCCATAGTTGAGGTATTATTTGAGCTTTTGAGATGTTAATCAGCTGCTGTTGTTGTAGAAAACATCCTTGTTGCCATGGTTACGCATCATAACAAATGTCCAAAACTTAAAAAGTTTCAGTAAAAATCCTTCCAGCTGCACAGCATCTGATACCAGAGGAAACAATCATCCAAAAAATGTGATTTACATCCAGAAAACCAGGAATTAAAGTTTCCAAAAGCAAAATCTCAGAATGAAAGTAACAGAGCTGCTCCAACATGCAGCCACCTGGAGCGGCGCAATTCTAGAACATTTTAGGGTAGAAGCTGTTCCTCAGTCTAGTGGTTCTACACTTAATGCTCCTCAACCTCCTGCCTGAGGGGAGCGGGGCAAAAAGTGTGTGTGCTGGGTGAGTGGGGTCCTTCATGATGCAGGTGGCCCTCTTCCTGCATCTGGAGGTGTAGATGTCTGTGATGGTGGGGAGGCTGACACCGACAGTCTTCTGTGCAGCCTTCACCACTCTCTGCAAAGCTTTTCTTTCTGCAGCTGTGCAGCCTCCATGTCACACGTTGATGCTGGAGCACAGGATGCTCTCCACTGCACACCTGTAGAAGGAGGTGAGGACTGAGCTTCCCAGACCAGCTCGTCTCAGCCGTCTGAGGAAGTAGAATCTCTGATGAGCTTTCTTGATCAGGCTGGTGGTGTTGTTGCCCCAGATGAGGTTGTCATTCAGGTGCACACCCAAGTACTTGTAGCTGGAGACCACTTCCACTGCAGATCCTCTTATGTTCAGGGTGCCGGGGTGTGGGTGGGTGTGGATGTATGGGGTGTAGGTCTGTTTGTTCCATCTCAAGTCCACAATCATCTCCTTTGTCTTCTTCACATTGATGTGAAGGTTATTCTCTTTGCACCAGCTCTCCAGGTGTTCCACCTCCTGCCTGTAGCTGGACTCATCATTGTTTGTGATGCATCCCACCACCGCTGTATCATCTGCAAACTTTACAATATGACAGCCTGGATGGGTAGCTGCACAGTCATATGTGAGCAGAGTGAACTGGAGATGGCCCAGCACACAGTCCTGGGGGGAGCCAGTGCTGAGGGTTATTGTGGAGGAGAAGAAATTGTGGATCCTCACTGACTGTGGTCTGTTTGTTAAAAAGTCTAGGACACAGTTGCAAATGGATGGGCTTAGTCCTAGTGTGGATAGTTTATCCATCAGGGTTTGGGGGATCATGGTGTTGAAGGTAGACGTGAAGTCCACAAAGAGCAAATGGACATAGGAGTCCTTCTGCTCCAGGTGGGTGAGAGCAGTGTGGACCATAAAGGAGATGGTGTCCTCTGTTGATTGATTCTTGTGGTATGCAACTGGTGAGGGTCCTCGTTGATGTTGATGGTTGTTTTGATGTGAGTCATGACCAGTCTTTTGAAGCATTTAGCGACTATCGGGGTGAGGGCCACTGGCCGATAGTCATTCAGACCAGTCAGTGTAGAGCTCTTTGGGACTGGGATGATGATGGTGGTGGCCTTCAGGCAGATGGGAACAGTTGCCAGGGTGAGGGAGGAGTTAAAGATGTTGGCCAGCTCATGATCATCATATTAAAAAACTTTTTTGTAATATATCATACTCTATTGCATTGTTAGTTGGAAATTTTATTATTATTAAAAAATCTTACTTTTACTGTGCTATGATATTCACTTTTTATATTTTATTTGTTTGTTAATGTATCACTTTCATAGATTTATAGGCAATGGCCTGGTAACAGCACAGACTCATGAGGTGTGGTACAAACAACGCCGAATCATGAATCCTGCCTTCAGCAGCTTGTGAGTACCATGGTTCAGTTTCTTGGCATGATTATATCGTTGTTGTTGTTGTTGTTCATCCTGCTCAGTTTGTAAAATATGTTTCACCCAGTTTTCTTAGGAGTATTAAAAAGGTTTGTAGGCTCAATCATCCAGGTATCCTGATGCATGCTCAATAATCCAGGTAGAAAAATCTAAAAAAGTTAAATCTGGTCCTCTGGACATTCACGAAAAACAAAACAAAACAAAACAAAAATTTTTTTAGAAAGGTTTCGTCTTTCATCCGAAAACTTCCTCAGTCGGAGGTGCTGTATTCAGCACAGTCTTATAAATAGCACCTTCTTGCAGTGGATCAACCAGTTTGCTGCTGAACATCTTCATCCCTGAAAGAGTTCACTTCCTGGACAGAGAGGAACGATGGTTTGAGAGAGGAGTAAAGGAGGCCAACTTTGTGAAATGAAACCGTCCATCATTAAACAGGGGTGGATGCCTCCGGGTTCAACTGTCCCCCTCTTACAATGCTGTGATTGCTAGTATCACTCAGCCCCCTGTGAATAGTAAACAGCCATCAGTGTGCTAATGATCCATTGTTAGGCTGATGGTCCTTCTTGACCATGTGAGCAGCTGGTTTTGGTTGTCAGCAGCAAAACTGGTTGATCCACTCGGAGAAGGTGCTATTTATAAGACTGTGCTGAATACAGCACCTCCGACTGAGGAAGTCTTTCGGATGAAAGACGAAGCATTTCTACATTTTTTTTTTTGAATGTCCAGAGGACCAGATTGAACTTTTTTAAAAATCATCCAGGTAGATAACAACAATAAAGGTTAAATCGTGTCATCTGGACCAGTTTCTTTAAGGGAGAAACATTTCGTCTTCCATCCGAAAGACTCCATCAGTCTGTGGCCTGCCAACCAGACCTGTCCCATAAGTAGCCTTCATTGCTGTGTTTCAAGCCAACCTCCTGTTGGAATCTCAGAGGCAGGCTTTTAGGAGTATTGTCCAGTTCCATCATGGGTGTCTGACTTTGTTGCTATCATGTAGGTGTGTTTTTCTTGTTTGAACCGATCATTCCTTCCAGATATTTGAGAGGTCTAATGGGGACCTTCAATGAGACGGCAGAGAAACTGATGGACAAGCTTGTAGAAGTTGCTGATAACAATACAGAGGCCAACATGCTGCACCTTGTCAACTGTGTCACCCTTGATGTGATTGCTAAGGTAATATCTGTTCATTGTCTAAAATATAAGTTTATCACAAATGTTTCAATCAAGTTTCAAATTTGTAAGAATCTGAAAATGTTTCATTTACTTGATAACTTTCAGGCTGCTTTTGGTGTTGATTTAGAAGTTCTGACAAAAAGTTCACCTTTCCCTAAAGCCATTGATACTTGTCTGAAAGGGATGATATGCATTATTAGAGATGCAACGTTTGAGGTAACATTTTGTTTTTGAGTTGGTTCTTTTTTTTTGTTCATGTAAGATAATTAACTGTTTTTAACAGTAGTTGTACTTTATTCGGTCTACTTTTTCCAGTTCAATCTAAAAAACAGACCATTTATTAAGGGAGTGAGGGAAGCCTGTCACCTGCTGCGCCAAACTGGAGCTGAGTGGATCCACAAGAGAAAGACTGCCATGCAGAATGGAGAAGATGTCCCGAAGGACATCCTCACGCAGATCATCAAAACTGCTGCTGCAGGTTTCTGTTCCTTAAGAGAACATTTAAATAGCAAGAATGAGAGATGAGATTCTATATAGCTGAGTAATTAAAAAATGGCAAACAGTAGATATTCAGAATTACAATTCATAACTGGGCTTTGTAGGATATGGTTTAAGCAGAGACCTCCAGAACATTTTGGTATTAGCTATCTCTTAGCTTGTCAGAGGGGACTTTGAAATGTTTCATAACCAAAAGAAAGATATGATCTTTTCATTTAGTGGTTGGTCTACACCAGTTGAGTTCTTTGAAAGACTTCCAGAAAGTTTTTTATGCACAAAATACTTCATCTGCCTTTTCTTTTTACAAAGGACCAGTTACTCTACTTTGACTTGTGTTGGATAAAAATATCCTCTATTCATCTTACTTACTCAAAGAAGCCACACTCGAAGACATGAGACTGTTTTCAGCCAGTTTTACTTGCAGGGGCAGACTTTCACTATATTCATGTACCACATGTGATGCGAATGACAATAAAGAACATTGAACCTTCACAACAGGTTACACAGATGTACAGAAGTTCTGCATGCATGGAGCCCAGTCACGAGAATCTGCCACGGGCAGCGTGCAAGAATTGTTTTTTATACACTTATCAGATCTTGGCTCAGAGGTAGTCACTGATGACCTTAGCCGCACAGCTGCACAAGCAGGATCAAATGTCTTTCTGCACTTTTCCTGTGTTTCTCTCTTCCTTGTGTTTCTGCTCCTATGCACACCTGACCCAAATCTAATCACCGCAGGTGTTTCCCACTTCATCTCTTTAAGCATCTTGTATTTATAATCTGTCTCGTCACTCCCTTGGTATCTGGGCATTAACTATCCATCCACGTTTCAATGATCTGTGTCTGCTCCACCTGTCACGTAGGGTTTTGCTGCCTCGTCAGCACTTTTGTGTTTAAAACAAAATAATTATTATTTTACTCCTGAGTCCTTCTGCTCTCTGCTTGCACTTGGGTTCAACCATTAACAACCAGAACATGTCAGAGAGAAAAGAACTCGCTAGTAACTCAAACACATGGTTCATGGGCAGTTAACATTCTCGGCCATTGTAGTTCAAAACATCCATAAACATTGATCAAAAATCCCATGACAACTTTTCCCCCAAATAGACATCTCCATTTATCCCTAAGGGAGAGTTCCTATTTAAGTTAATTTCAGCTGTATATACAGTTTTATTTTAAGAGTTTAAATATAGATTGGTAAAACAATAGCTAACTAGTATCACTGCAGACACTTGCTACAGTTTGTATTAATCTACAACACCCTAATCCTACTAGGCAACAATTCCTTAAGATTTCTAAACTTTTCTATTAGAGATAGGACCTCACTCCCAACTCAGAGAAAACCCATTTTCAGCTGAGGTCTCAGATTTGAAGGTACTATCTTCATCCTGGCTGCTTCAAACTGCTCCAATACTTGCTGTAGGACCCACTTTTTTTAATCGCAATTAAGGTAAAACATGATGATAAAATCTAAAACCTCACAAATTCAACACATACTGAGCATTGACTGCTTCTACAATTTTTTAAAATAAAAGTTATTAATAGAGTAACCCTGGCAGGGTCTATTAATTAACACAAAATAGTCCGACGCATGGGAACTCGACTTTCACTTGTACTGTGCAAAGAGGAAATGGCACATTTTAGAGGACAAAAATCTATTAACTCAGAAATAATCATCATAGGATACTGACTATGTTACTATAGTTACATTATATATATATATATTCATGATTATCATATTTATACAGCCATGGTGCACATTGGATGCATGAGTTGTCCAGTGTGTTGACCAGGGATACATTACCATAGCATTGTAAGTGGTCCACTGAGGTAGCTTGGTGGTCAGTTAGAGCAGTCGTCCTCCAATGTGAGAGTTTGGGGTTCGAATCCACCAGCAGTCACATGCTGAAGTGTCCCTGGGCAAGACACTGAACCCCTCATAGCCTCTGATGTGTGTCCCATCAGTGTATGAATGTGATAAAGCACTGATTAGTCTCTTTAGAATGATTTGTTCAATTAGCTTTGCAGAGATCTAGTAGAGTGCTGTATGAATGGGTAAATGAGGCACAGATTATAGCGTAAAGCGCTTTGAGTATCTTGAAATAAGATAGAAAACGTTATATAAGTACAGTCCATTTACTACAGATGAAAAATTATCTCAAAGGTCTCAATTGTATAAATGGATGAATGCATGTATGGGATCTGTCCATTTGTTTGACTATTAATAGGCAGCGAGTATGTAGCTGAATGAAACACAAGGCTTTTCACACACTTTACACAATTTTTAGAACATGACTATTAACATATATATTCATTATATTATATACACATATGACATATTTGTGTGGTAGATGTAAACTGATTTTATTGGTACAAGAAACATAAAATTTAGTAATTCATTTTTCTTTATATTACAGAAGAAACTATGACTGAAGAAGACGAGGAGTTAATTTTAGATAATTTTGTAACAATCTTCATTGCTGGTGAGCTTATTGTTTTTTTGTTTTTTTTTATGATGTAAGTAATGCTGCCAAATAAGTATGGGTGTGCTTTCTCTTAAATAATCAAGGGTAACTATACTGCAACCCCTATCTAAAATGTTGTGTAAAAGAATAATAATAATTAAAAAAAACATTATTTTGCTAACCTAATAAACCCATAATTTCGTTACTTTGGAAATTGTAAATAAAATGAGAAACAAAGATTTAGAATGTAATTAATAAAGTGTACTTTTTTAAAGGAAAAAAGTAGGACAGTTTTGAATTTGTTTGCTTCAGCACATCTACAAATGTTGGGGTATAGCCATGTTTACAACTGTGAAGCATCCTCATTTAATCATCTTTTAGCAATAGTCAGTAAACATCTTGGAATTAGAGACAAATATGACTGGAGTCTTTGGAGGTTTGTCCCATTCTTTTCTGATGTAGGATTGTAAATGTTCAACAGTCCTGAGTTTACTTGGCTGAATATTTGTTTCATGATGCACCAAATGTTTTCAATATTCAGAGGTCAGAACAGCACACAGACTGCTTTACTACAAACTCATGTTATTGTAATGTATGAGGTTTAAAAGAGTCTTGTTGAAATAGTTTTGTCCTTCCCTTAAAATTACATCTGAATGGATGCACATCCGTCCGTCCGTCCCTCTGGCCGTCCATCCATCCATCATCTTTACCCACTTCTTCTTTTTTGGGTTGCGGGGTTCACTGGTGCCCATGAGTCACTGTGAGAGAGGCGGGGACACCCTGGACAGGTCGTAAGTCCATCACAGGGACACATGGAGACCAAAAAAAATAAATAAATCTGTTTTTACTTTCTGCATTGATGATGACTTTTCAGATGCCTAAGCACTACACTACACAAATGCACCCCTATAAGATTAAAGAGGCATGTTTTTGAACTGTTTGCCAGTCAGCAGGTGCTCACCCATGAGCCCCTCCCCCTTACCTGACTCCAGGGTGAGGCTCTGGTAACTCATGCCCGGTCAAGAGACATTGAGCTCCTTGTTTTTTCTTGATCATGTAATTGTTATAAGTGAATCACTCTTTGTCTGGCACATCACCAATGACTAATATGCCTTGGGAGACCCTACGGGAGGCAGTTACTCTCAACAGTATAGCTCTAGGATTATTTAATCACACAAACGCCTCCACCACAATAAGATGGTGGATCGTGGAGGACATTCCGTCTCTTTAAAATGTTTATTTTTATACAGTCCTTTTACTCACCTGTTGCTACTTGACCTTATTATTTGCAAAATGTTCTTTCAGTTTCTCCTCCAGGTCCTCCTGTTTCTTATTTGCACCACTTTAACAATTTTTTTTGGTATCCCAGTCCCAACTTTTTAAAACTGTTTTACTGCCATGTAATTAAAGTTGTTGCATCTTATAACAGTTGGGTTTACTATGTTCCATTGTAAAAACATCCATCCATCCATCCATCCATCCATCCATCCATCCATCCATCCATCCATCCATCCATCCATCCATCCATCCATCCATCCATCATCTTCCGCTTGTTCCGAAGTCAGGTCTTGGGGGCAGAAGCTTGAGCAGGAGGTCCAGACATCTCTTTCCACAGCCTCCTCTTCCAGCTCTTCTTGGAGGACCCCAAGGCGTTCCCAGGCCAACTGAGAGACATAGTCTGTCCAGTGTGCTTTGGGTCTTCCCCGGGGTCTCCTCTCCATCGGACATGCCCAAAGCACATCCCTATGGAGGTGCCCAGGAAGCATCCTTACCAGATGCCCTAACCACCTCAACTGGCTGTCATTTGCATTGCAATTGGTTTTTATTTATATTTTGCATAACTTCCAAACTTTTTCAAACTTTTGGTTGTAGGTTAAACGGACAGTTAATTGTAATTTGCTGGTCTTTTTACTCTGCCTTTTTTGGCTTATTGATGTTTTATTTTAAGCAATCATTCTAACTTTGCCCTGCGCCCTTTCAGGTCAGGAAACAACAGCCAGTCAGTTAGCGTTCTGCATCATGGAACTTGGACGACACCCCGAAATTCTGGAGAAGTAAGAGATTACTACTCAGTTCATTTTAGTTTGTTATAATGTTAGTGAAGAATGTTTTCTGATTTAGAATTGGTACTTTTCAGAGCGAGGAAAGAAGTGGATGATGTCATTGGAATGAAACAAGAGATGAGCTATGATGACCTCGGAAAACTGATCTACCTCTCACAGGTATGTACAGGAAGTGTAAAAAAAATTAAAGCGTCGTCAATAAAAATTGCAATCATGTTCATTTATGTTTACTGTTAGAAAAGCAGTCTTTTAGTTCTCTTAGCAGGTCTCCCTCTGAACCTCTTCCATTTCCATTTAACGTTTACCATAGACATAACCTTGTAACCCTCCCGCAGGTATTAAAGGAAACCCTGAGAATGTACCCATCTGCTCCTGGGACATCTCGGGAACTTCAGGAAGACATGGTGATAGATGGTATCCCCATCCCTGGAGGAGTCATCTGTACTGTGAGTGTTTAGTAACAAACATACTTGTGAATTAAAGCATTAAAAAGTCTGCTTCAAAAGAATTACAACATTACCAACAATTTTTTACAGGACAGAACAAAACTGTTTACCTGATTTAAAAATAAAAAAATCGCACAATAATTCAAATGATTCCTAGCGTGACATAAATGATTTTGATTTTCAGTTCGACTCCTATGCAACTGGGAGAATGGAGAAATTCTTCAAGGACCCACTGACATTTGATCCAGACCGATTTCACCCCGACGCCCCCAAGTACGTTGAACAAAATGTTTTCATGATGTCAGGTTTTATTTTGTGGTGAGCAGAAGGTAGAACATAAACTTCTCTTTATTTGTTTTACCAGGCCTTATTACTGCTATTTCCCCTTTTCTCTCGGTCCACGCTCATGCCTGGGAAAGAACTTTTCTCAGGTGGGTGGCACAAAAACATCCATTTCCTGTGTGTAAACCCACAGCATGTATAAAAGCTCAGAGAGTCTTGGGTGGTTTTGTGTTTTCAGATGGAGGCTAAAGTTGTGATGGCAAAGCTGCTTCAGAGGTTTGACTTCAGCCTCGTCCCAGGACAGACCTTTGACATTCGGGACACTGGCACTCTGAAGCCAAGGGATGGAGTGATTTGTTTCATCAAACACCGGAAGTAAAAACAAAGCAGTTTCAAAGCTGTATGACATAAGAAGTAGTCCTCACGTTAAAGATAAATTGTTTAGACTAGTTAATCATTAAGTTGGTATCACTACCACAACAAAAACTACTTAGAAAAAATAATTCTTGGTAATCTTGACCATTGTTATGGCCTGAGGCCATATCTTTGTGTGACAATATAACAAAGTCCATGCTCAATAATCCAGGTATACAATCCAACAATTTTCAGTCAGGTCATCTGGACAGTTTCTTTTTTTATTTTTGTTCTGAAATGTTTCCCCTTCGATCCGGAAGGCTTCATCCGTCAAGGAAACACACAACAAAACTGATTCTTCCCCCAACAGCTTACTCCAAAGTGGAACAAACCAGTTCTGCTTGTGATAAGATGGTCTCAAAAAACATTGTATGTACAGTACGTCCTGATGCATGCTCAATAATCCAGGTAGAAAAATCTAAAAAAGTTAAATCTGGTCAGTTTCTCTGATATCAGAGAAACTGAGACGTTTATTTTCTAAACATAACGTCCCAGTGGCTTTTAAACCCCAAAATACATTACGGCAAAGACTGGTTCATCCCAAAGATCCAGTCCCCCGGCACAAACAGAGCAATGTTGTGTATGCTGTTCAGTGTCAGGAGGGCTGTGATCAGTCTTACATCGGGGAAACAAAACAGCCACTGGCCAAAAGGATGGACCAGCACAGAAGATCAACATCATCAGGCCAGGACTCTGTGGTCTACAGTCATCTCCAGGCCAGCGGTCACTCTTTCAGGGATGAAGATGTTCACATCCTGGACAGAGAGGAACGATGGTTTGAGAGAGGAGTAAAGGAGGCCATCTTTGTGAAAAGAAACCGTCCATCATTAAACAGGGGTGGAGGCCTACGTGTTCAACTGTCCCCCTCTTACAATGCTGTGATTGCTAGTATCACTCAGCCCTCTGTGAATAGTAAACAGCCATGAGTGTGCTAATGACCCATTGTTAGGCTGATGGTCCTTCTTGAGCATGTGATCAGCTGGTTTTGGTTGTCAGCAGCAAAACTGGTTGATCCACTCTGAGAAGGTGCTATTTAAGAGACTGAGCTGAATACAGCTCCTCAGACTGAGGAAGTCTCTCGGATGAGAGACGAAACGTTTCTACATTTTTTTGTTGATTTGCTTTGTTTTTTTTTTTTTTGAATGTCCAGAGGACCAGATTTAACTTTTTTAGATATGTACAGTACGTGTAAAAAAAAAAAATTAAAGCATCTTGACTAAAAATTGCAATCATGTTCATTTATGTTTACTGTTAGAAAAGCAGTCTTTTAGTTCTCTTAACAGGTCTCCCTCTGAACCTCTTCCATTGTGACAATATAGTTGCAGTTGATTTGCTGACCCAGCTGTGCTGTGGTGGCTCATCTGGGATTGGCTTCATCACCTCCTGACTCCTCCCCAAAGGACATCCATCAGAATCCTGGTTGGCTTCTTCACCTCCTGCTCCTGCAACCACAGAAGAGGTCCTGTCTATTTAAGCCAGGGGTGTCAAACCCACTTATAAATAGGAGCCAAAATTAAAACGTTTTTCAAACTAAAGGCCCGTATCAGAAGCTACATTAAGATATCCAACAGTGTTTCTTGGTTGCAGCTTCCTCAACAAGAGTTTGATTGGTCTCATTTGACGTTCTATATTGCACTTTTGACATCATGATCAAAGATTACTGAAAAAATAAAAATATTTTACATGTACAGTGCCTTGCGTAAGTATTCATCCCCCTTGAACTTTTCAACCTTTTGCCACATTTCAGGCTTCAAACATAAAGATATAAAATTTTAATTTTTTGTGAAGAATCATCAACAAGTGGGACACAATCATGAAGTGGAATGAAATTTATTGGATGTGTGATGGGAGACTGCAATGAAGCCAAGATTCAACTTGTCTGCTGGATTCCTTAGAGAACTTTACTAATTGGCTTTTTATTTATGTGAATGTTCCTGTAAAGTACCCTGAGACAACGTTGTTGTGATTTGGCGCTATATAAATAAACTGAATTGAATTGAACTCATTGTCAAACTTTAACAAATAAAAAACTGAAAAGTGGGGCGTGCAATATTATTCGGCCCCTTTACTTCCAGTGCAGCAAACTCACTCCAGAAGTTCAGTGAGGATCTATGAATGATCCAATGTTGTCCCAAATGACTGATGATGATAAATAGAATCTGCAGCACGGTGGCGCAACTGGTAGAGCTGCTGCCTCTCAGCGAGCAGGTCCCTGGTTCAAACCCCGGTCCAGGGGCCTTTCTGGGTGGAGTTTGCATGTTCTCTCCGTGCATGCGTGGGTTACTCCGGTTTCCCCCCACAGACCAAAAACAGACCAAAAACATGCATGTTAGGCTGATTGGTAACTCTAAATTGTCCCTAGGTGAGAAAGAGAGTGGATGGTTGTTTGTCTCTATGTGTCCCTGTGATGGACTTGCGACCTGTCCAGGGTGTACCCCACCCCTCGCACAGTGATTGCTGGACATGGGCACCGGCGACCCCCGTGACCCAAAATGGAATAAACGGATAAAGATAATGGATGGATGGATAAATAGAATCCACCTGTGTATAATCAAGTCTTCCAACAAGACAATGATCCAAAACATAAAGCCAAATCTACAATGGAATGGTTCACAAATAAACGTATCCAGGTGTTGGAATGGCCAAGTCAAAGTCCAGACCTGAATCCAATCGAGACTCCTGAACACTCATAATGTTACCTCATAATTACATCTGTATTATAACTGAATACTCCATCTGTACTGTTTTCTAAGCTTTTTTATTGTTTTCCATTGTATGGGTGTACACATGTTTTATGTTATGTTTTCATTGTTACTTTATTTATGGGTGTACACATTTTTTATGTTATGTTTTCGTTTTTACTTTATTTTACTTTATTACTATTCGCACCTTTATGTCGAAGCAAATTCCTAGTTTGTGAACCTCGTTCATTGACATGGCAATGATAGACTGATTCTGATTTACAAGAGAGACCTGATTTCTTTAACAAAGAGTGATGACAACAGTGGATAACAATGACAACAATAGACATAAAAGAGGCATACAAACGTATTTATTTATTTTTTCAATAAAACCACTAATGTGATAACTGGGTGAGATGGGGAAACAGTGGTTAGAGCTGTCATCGCTGCCTGAGAGGATGTAGGATCAACTCCCGGTTTGTTCTGGGGGAAGTTTGCATGTTCTCTGCATTCATGTTGGTTTAATCAAATAGACAAAAACACGCATGTTAGGTTAATTTGGTAACTCTAAAATGTATTTTATTGCAGGAAAGAATGTGAGTGGTTGTTTCCATTCTCTCTATGCGTTCCTGTGATGGACTTGGTGTCCTTCGCCTCTCACACAGTGACTGCTGGAGATAGACACCAGCCACCTACAACCCAGAAAGGAGAAGCGAGTAAAGTAGAATGGATGGATGAGACATCCAAAAAAGGAAAACAAAAACACTTTACTCTGTAGATTTTTCAGCTTTAGCTTATTTCTTTACAGGCAATAGTTACACAAAGTACTCCATACTTTAATCAACTTTAATTTCCCTTGTTCAAGTGTGTTTAACTTTATACTTTAGGTTTACAGCACGTTCTAAAAATGTAAATATCTGGAAATCCTTGAACAAATGCATATCACCCGCCGCCTTTCATGCCAGAGTTTTAGACTAAGACCATCTTATGTTGAGAAATGATGACGTAACCGTTGTAATCAAACCTTAAAAAGATCCATGCAATCTGACAAGGTGTCACACTTGGAGTTTTTGTTGTGAATGACTCTCAGCTACTACCACGTCAATTTGTAGCTCAGTATCTGTGAATCTGACTGAGTATTAGCCATTTTAGCTACGTCATCCATCTGGAAGTGGATTGAAACCAAAAGTTATTCAGAGCGCTAACAAATCTCACAAGGTCTTGTAATGTCTCATGAGATTGGACATTCATTTACAGTCTCTTGTCATTGTAAGGGAATTTGTCTTAGTTTCAAACTCTGCTATAAAAAGCTGTGGGTAATATGCATTCCTTCAAGGAATACTAGCCCTTTAATTTACCCTGATGTGTTGACTTCTCCTCTTGTACCGCTCGCTTCCTGACCCCAGATTTTACTGCATGTTATTGTATGAGAGATGTGCTCACGTTTAACTGAAGCATTTGCTAATCTCTGGCTTGATCAATAAATCAGTAGTGTTGTTTTAATTTACACTGAGTGTGATCAGTGAATGTGACTGCTACGTGTCTGGAGTTATAAAGTCCAAAGGTGAGCATGTGGATGTCACATGAGCTAAAAACGAAGGAAAATATACATTTGTAATTCACAGTCCGTTTTTAAAATTATACCACATCCATGTAAGAATCAACTTATTTCTTCCTGTTTATCTATCACATACTGTATGTTTTAGTGCAGTAATTTACAGAGAATGTCATAGTTATTGATGCCAGTGCAGCTTAGTTTGGACAGAGATGAATTACCACATATAGGCCTGTCATGCACATTACAACACTCTTTAAGCTACAGTGACTGGCATTAAAAAAAATAAAATCTATTAAGGTTATCAAAGTGAAATGCTTTGTTTGAAGAATGAACAGGCAAATGTTTGTCCAGTTGATAAAAAAAAACTACCGTAGTTTTCCCTTTCAACGTGGCTTTCAACGAAAGCCGTGCTGATTTTCTTCACTGGTAGTGTTGTTTTCTCATCGACGTGACCTGGTGTATTTTTGTAGAAAGGATTAGATAAAGCTAGATAAGGAGCAGAGATCCTGATTCACAAGAACTTGCAGAAAAGACGCTGCAGTTTAAACATTGACAGAAGAAAACAGAATTTGGACCACTTGGAAGTCACTCTAGCTACGAATTTAGAAGACGCCAAATGGTAAATATCCCTGAAACTTGATTTAGTAGAGATGGAGTGAATGCAACTTGTTTTTATTTGGCACGGTGGATAAGTGACCTCTCAGCCCTGTCGGTCGCCCCCTCCTG